TTTATTTGAATTTTATAATAAAGAATTAATTAAATTAAATATTATATTATTATTATATTAAAATATCTTAATGCATTTTAAAATCCTTTTCCCTATTCACTTCACCTAAACAAAGAAATGAAAAGAGAAAATTAGAGAGAAAGTGGGGAGAGAGAAAGGAAAAGTTAGGTTTTAGAGGTATTAGAGAGATTTTTGTCAGTTAGCTTAATAGAGATATTTGGTCATCTCATTGTAAAGAATCTTTACCTTATTTTTTATTTCAAAGGTTTTATATTTTTGATATTTTTTTGATCAAATTTGTATTTCTGTTAACAAAAATCTAGAATAATTTTGTATTAGTAAAACTTTTATTGTGTAACATTCTATATATTATAGAGATTGAGATTATGAACATTTTGAGTATTTATTTGAGATTTTTTATCGACTGATTTTGAAAATATAGCAATTTTTTCCTATTTATAAATTTATTTTTATGTCTAAAAATAGTGATTTAGTTCAACTAAAGCTTCGTAATGCTATTTTATGTTATATTTGATAATTTTTTAAAATTCTAAGAATATGATTTTTTGCTCAATAGAAGTTTTGTTGTATGTCGTTATGACATTTTGACATTTTCTGAATTAAGCTCAATTATACTTTATTTACTACAATATATTGGAAATGAATGTGATGTGTCAATGAGATTACTATTAGCATATTGTGATAATAATCTATGTAAAAGACAAGGATTTGTTCACCTCTTGGTTAGAGATTGATTAACCTGTACATGATGGTGGGCCGATAGAATTTCCTTTAAATATTATGATTTGATGTTATCCTCTATTGATTCATGTGATAATATTAGATAACTATGTTTGTTATTTTTTTAAAAGATAAAAGAACAATTCTTCCAAATTAGATTTTGAGACATCACAGCTACATTGAACGATTGTTATCTAATGCATCAATGTCCTCTTGGAAACCACTCGCCACCCCATTACCTTCAAAATGACTGACTAATCCATAACTTTATCTTCCCTACAATCAACCTACTCTGTTTCTGCAAATTGCTTACAGTACTTAACAAACACCAAGCCTGATTTTGCCTTTGCTGTCAACAAATTATGTCAACACATTTATCAAACTTTACTCTATCACTTCCAACTACTAAATTTAATCCTTCGCTACCTCAAAGGCACCATCACGCTCGGTCTATTTTTTTCCCAAAACCGACCTCACTCTCTTAGCTTGCAACGACATAAATTAGGTTGGAGATGTTACCGATCTCAAATCCACATCAACTTATTTTCTATTCCTCGGCTCAACACTCATCTCTTGGTCTGTTAAGAAGCAATCCACCATTGCACGCTCCTCAATTGAAGCCGAGTACTACTCTCTTGCCGCAGCTGTTATCTCGGCTATGTCATATATGCCATGATTGTTTTATAGAACTTCACTCCACACCATACACTGTGACAATAGCTCGGCTATGTTTCTAGCTTCTAATCCAATTTTTCATGCCTGAACCAAGCATATCGAGATAGATCTTCACTTCATATGTGACTATGTTCAAGCTCGGCATATCACATTCCACCGTATTGATCAGCTAGCCGATATTTTCACCAAGTCCTTGCATACACAACGACCTACTCATTTACACTCCAAACTGATGGTTCTTCCACCCATCAGCTTGAGGGGGGTTGATAATGATAACAAATTTATTTCAAACCAACCAGGCACATAATTACCTGCTCCACAACTTTGAGTTCTCTGATGAGCACGGTGGCTGTGTAGGACCATTTTAGCTTTATGTAACTACCTATGGGTAGTTTAGTAACTCCTGCTCTAGCAATCTTTAGATAAATACTCTATTATGTATTCACTTTGAAAGCATATTGAATTATCATTTCACTATATATACCTTACTGCTCATCTCAATTTTTTTTCCTGGATGAAACTCTCTTTGATCTGCTGGTTGAGAGTTTTGGCTACCAATTATAAGGTCTTGGATTTAAGTGTTGCATATATGATGTGTGTATAAATTTATCTTAATTGACCTAAATATTAAAAAAAAAATCTTTTTCCTGAGATCTTAGTAATGTTTTTCCTTAAACATTTGTCTTGTTTGTATGCATGCGTCGAAATAATCAACATTGAATTCTTCCAATGCAGCATTCACAATGTGTTGGCGTTTGACTGAATCGAATAATTAATACGGCAATCAAAATGGAAAATTAACAAATTATATATTGACAATGTCCTAATAAAATTATCAGCTAGCAATTGCTTTCTTAGTGTTTGAATTTCTCAAACTATTGAGATGTACTTTTGTGTTTAACTAATGAAATATACATATTTTTTAATCTCGATGATATTAGGGATCGAGTAAAATAAATTTCATAATAAGTTGATATAGGAAGAACAATTGCTATATAAATCTTTAGTTTGCTTATTAATAGCCCCAATATGACTCATTTAGTTTGCTAAGAAGTTGCATTTATTAACGAATTGTTATTACGTCGTCCCGTAAAAATACCGAGCATATCGAGTGTATAACAGGCTGAACACTATGGATCACATGAAGAACAAACTGAGCTCGAATATATAAGAGTTTAACAAATCTTACTAACCTTAATTAAGGTGCCCATTAGATTGAATAAAGACTTCTAATTTTGTAATAATACTTAATGTTATATGGAGTATTAAGACAATCCTTGCAAGCCTGTTACAAATAAAAAACTAACCGCCATGCTTTGAGTTATGCCATGCGGAGTCTAATAAGTTTTTATTAATGTAGAATATTCATGTCAATATAAATTTCTCATCATAACGTAGACCTTTATCTAAGCTCTAAATGGCAAACTCTTGATTATAAATAGATGAGTTCCACGAATACGCTTCTATCCAAACACTGAAGAACATGACTGCCATGGCCAACAAGACTAGCTGCCTAGTGCAACCTTTGTCTCCCCCTTCTCCTTCCCGGCTCTTCTTTTATAGTTCAACAATTAGAGGTACTATTTTCAAAAGAATGTTTTTTTTTTTATAAAAATTTAATTATATTATTCAAAATCCATTATACACAATTAATTAATTATGGAGCCCTTTATGTGCTTTAATTTGTAATTAATATCTAGCAAGCTTTCTCATATATATAAATTTAGAAAATTTTGTCAAGATATTCTTTTATGGAGTATGTTGTATTACTATTGATTTCAAAATTTTGATATTTTAAATTGTCCTAACTCAACATAAATATAAGGATTTCCAAAAAATAGTCTTCTTTTTTAAGATCTAAGAAATTAAAGGCCTATGTCCAATTTGTTAAGATTTACAACTAATTATTTTCATTTGTATATATATCAGTACTTTAAAAAGATGTAATGAGAAAATATTGGGAAGGCTCAATTGATGATATAACAAAATATAGCGCTTCTGATAATGAAAAATGCATGAGTAATAGTAATTAGATTAATAGTGAATTAACAAGAATGAAAAAAAGTTGATTTTTTTTTTTTTTAATTCAAAAATTTGTGTTCCCACATGAGAAAGATCTTGGCCTGCCTCTAAGTATAATAGTTGATAATTCATAATTTAAGTGAGTGTAAATATGTCATTTAAAATCTTCCTTCCCAATCCCTTCACTCTCTTATCTAGACTCTAATAGCAAGAAAACAACCCACCTAGGGGATGATGAGCATCATGAGCAAAAGGAGCTAAATCAACCTGCTTAATGAAGTTCAAAGAAATAAGAGAGAGAAGAGGTCGCACGGGCGTACCTTTTGTACGAGACCGATAAACTTTGGATTTGAATGATAGTCGGGACAACGAGAAAGAAAAGGAAGAAGAGCTTTTTTTAGCCACTTTTAAACCTCTTCTTCACGCAAAGCATGCCGAAGATGAAATTACATTTTGGGATCTGAAGAGGCGGTGAAGAAATGGAAGTACTTTTGCAATATGAAGAGGCTTAAGATTGTGAAAATGAATGGGCGGTCTGAAGAGGCTTAATATAGGAAATGAATAGGCACGATCAATCGGTGAGATATGAAAAGGCTTAATATCAAGGAAATGAATAGGCACAGACGGTTGATATTTATTTTATTTTTAAAAATGAAAGACATGTGAATCTCAAACCTCCAAAGGAGAACGAGAGGTGAAGAGGGCCATAAACTACCATTTATTACAAATGAGATGAGAAAAATTATTACTGTAGATGACAATAAAGGTAGATAGCAATGAAGAAATTATTGAGGCCAGCTAGATGGCAATAGAGATGGATGTCAGGCTGCCACATTAGTGCTATGTAAATTTAAAATTAGTTTTAATGACGTTTTGATATTAATAAAATATTTAATGTAATAGTTGAAATTGAAGGCTAAAATTTTATTAGAAGCATGAAATGGAATATTAAAATTTTATTTGGGTGGAAAGCTTAATATTACATAAAATATTAAGACGATCTTGCATGCAAATCTATCATTAATAATAAACCTCACCATCATGCTTTGGGTTATGCCATGTGGAGAGTTTCTGATTTTTAGTAGTTTCAAATAAGCATTGGTGCAAGACAACTATGATAAGCATAGGTGTTGGACAATGATTTTTTATTTATGTATTATATTCATGCCAATATAAATTTCCCTTCATAACTTAGGCTTACTCGATTATCAATTATCTTTCTCTAAGCTCCAAATTAAGAACATCATTGCCATGGCCAAGAGTTGTTGCCTTGTGCAACTTTTTTCTTCCCCTTCTCCTTGCAGGCTCTTCTCTTCTGGTTCAATAATTGGAGGTACCATTTTCATAAAAGTGTTTTCTCTTTTTTTTTTTTTTTTTAATTTGCCATTTTCATGATCCATTATACACAATTAATTAATAAATTTTTTGAGCCATTTATGCACTTTAATTAATAGCTAGCAAGCTTGCTCATATATATAAATTTAATTTGAAAATTTTGTCGAAATATTCATTTATGATATATGTTGGTTCGTTAGTATTGATTTCAAAATTTTGAATTATCTATGACGTACATTAGTGTTGTATATGATATTTTGAATTGTACGTTCTAACTCAACATAAATCTAAGGATTTACCAAAAAATTATTCTTTTTGAAGATCTAAGAAATTAAAGGCGTAGGTCTAATTTGTTAATATTCATTATTAATTATTTTCATTGGCATATAAATGAAATGAGAAATGATTGGAATAGCTTAATTGGTAGAGCAGAAGATTGAAAATCCTCATGTCACAAGTTAGAATTTTACTTTTGTAATGATTGAAATTGGTCATAGTGCATAGAGGCTTAGTGGAACCCTAATCTTAAATTTGACTTTTGATAATTTCTTAAAATTTAAAACTTGTGCTTAAGATTTCTGGCACTTAACTAAAAATGAAGGCTTAGATTTCGTTTGAGACAATTTTGTTTACATCTTTCTACAATACTTTTTAGTTTTTTTTTTTTTTTTGAAAGCATAAAAAAAAAATGATAAAAAATTGTGCCCAACTAAGCCTTAATTTTTAATTTATTTTCTTGATTATATATAAATTTTCTATTGAAAAGTGTCAATAAGTTTCTTAGAAGTTGAAACTCTAATTAAAACTTTTGCATCTGCGACTAAATTAATAAGTGCAAAAAATGAAAAGATTATTACGTGCGGAGATCAAATCCAAGAACCATTTGGTTTTGTGAGTTTGAACAGTAAAAACGCAGTTACTGTTCATAACTGCATTTTTAATGTGCCTGCTTGGCAGGCTGCAGGCCGTAGCGCACCTGCATCGCACTCAGTCCCATTTGTCATTTCACTCACACTACCCTCTTCACGCTCGCATCCCCTTCGCGCTCGGTGGCCGTGTCCACGCTTTGCCACCGAGCCCACACCAGCTTGCCTCTGCAGTTCCGCGGTATTCCAGGTTTATGGGTCGTGTTGAATTGCCCCAAAATCGAATCGGGCCAAGTTTGGGTTAAGGATGTTGACATAAACTATAAATAGGTCGTGTTCATGTCGGGTCAAACAGTGACGGATCAATTCAGATTGAACTCGAACCTATCCAAAAAAACATACCCTATTTGTGATTATTTTATATTCAATGTGATTGATATATTTGATTAGTTCTAAAAAGACTAAAAGAGTTGAACAATCCTTTTGATTTATATAATATAATTAGTGCAATCACATGCTTTTAATTAATGAAATTTATAGGTGTTTGTCATTCAAAGAAGAAACAACTCATCGTTGCTGCTAAAGTCTCCAACAAAAGAAATATAGATTGTCGCTCATATTACGACTATGCGGGCGCCATTGGTGGACATTTTAATAAATTAAAATCTCGAAAGTGTTGTCATGCAAATTCTCAATCATCTCAAGCTGAAGATAATGATTTAATGATTGTATGGAAGGCACTAATTTGTTGGTTAAAGATTTTCTATGCGTTTACGCGCCCCTATGCATGTATCGGCACAGTTAAGTTCTTTTACTTAAAGATTTCCTTTTTTTTCGTTCATATATTCCATAGAATTCATTTTTATTTTATTTGATACTTTTATTCACCCCCATAAGATAAAGGCTTGATTTTGTTATTGTTGTTGGCACTTTTATTCAGATTTTGGGAGTTATCTCGAGTTCTTTAATGGCTATTGAAAGCTTCTCAGATATTTCTCTACCCTTTTTCATTGGATTATTAAAGGTAACTTTTTTGAATTAAGTTTATGATCATATAAATTTGGATTTCAATTAATTTATAGTAAATTGAATGTCTCAACGAGACAAAGCTAACGACACCATTAACGATTTGATTTCAATCCAAATGAATCTAAATCAAACACTTAAAGCATCATTAAAGCACTCAAGTACTAGATAAATGATTTATGATCAGTGGGATCAATGTGGAAAATTCATTAAATTGTTATGGATTACTGTAAAATTTACCAAAATGTCTCTCAAAAAGCTATAAATAAGACATCATTGTTTACATCAATGCTTCAAAGTTCACATAGATAATTGAGTATTTTATTTTCTAGAGTTCAGTGCTAATGATCACAATTAGTTACCACAGCCACCACTGCCTAACTTACATCATCCATCTATTTTTGCCCAGTTACTACTATCTAAAACTAATATTAGGCTTCAACTATCAGTTTGTGAAGACCTGACTTCTATAATCCCTATAATGAGAACCAGACAATTATTTTTAATTATGTAATCCTCTCTTCAATTTTGAGTAGTTTGAATTCTTGTATCTCCAATTATATAATTGATAGGTCTCCATAAAATTAATATGATTAGCACGAATCTTGAGATCATATTTAAATTGAAAACTTCTAAAAGTAATTTTAGGATCATTCAAACTCTAATTTCTGCAAACTTATAGCCGAACTAAGCATATCGACGAGATGAACCCTTCAACACTATAAGTGATCCGACAACACTACAAGTGATCCGACCGGATTTCAAATGAGCTAAAATCAAACACTTGATACATGCTTAAAAGATTTACTAAATTAGGAGATTCACTAAATTAGGAGAAAATGTATTTTAATCACTTTTATAAAAGATAAAATTTGAGAAATCAAAATTATTAAAAACAAAACTAAGATTCTAATTACATACCAAGATCAAAATACTTTTCATAACTAAAGCAAAGGTTAGAAAAGACCCAAAGTGGCTTTTTCTCTCTTCCCTCTCTCCTCTCCCTCTCTTTTCTTCCTCCCCTCTTCCTTACCCGGCGAAAAATGGAGGAGAAACAGCTTAGTCCTAAAGAATATGAAATAAAAATTGTTGTAAGATGCTTAGCATCGTAACGCTCCAGACCGACATCATAGCATTGCATGTCTATTTTAGAGTTACTATAGAACATAGAGCATAGTTCAGCGTCGTAATGCTTCAGTTAAAAATTTAGATTTCTCAAATAAATCCAGTTTAAAAAGTTTGGGTAATTACATTTGACCCTTATGAACACATTAAATAGTATAAGACAATCATGCACATTTAGTATGTTTATGATACAATCCTCTGCAAGATCTTCTTGACAACTCTTAAGGGGCATACTTACACATAATTCTACTTTCTTTCAAGTAGAATTATTCGTACTTTTATAGATCTAGCTAGGCTTCTTATTGAATAATTTATTTCTCATTAAAAAATTATCAAAGACTCCTCCCATCTTTTTGGGATTTTACAAAAAGAGGGAGATAATCTAAAATAATATTTTTAAATATTCTCTTCTAAAGCATGTCAAATATTGGGAGTAGATCTGAAGTTTCTATAATGTATTTTTCTTGGAGGTCTTCACTTTGGATTATTCTACTTCTCAATAATGCAATAAATAGTCCACTCTTATAATGATCTTATTTATTGAGTAGAAGTACAAATAATTACATGCAAAGTCATCTTTGCTCATCAAAATTAATGCATATATTCCTTAAACAAACATAAGAATTCATAATAATAAAAATTATCTGGACTCAACCAAAAAAGTAGAAACAAACAAGAGATCATGGATATCAACCTCACCAAATTCAGTGTAGGTCACCCAATTACAACCTCTTAAATAAATCCATAGATAACATCCAAATGAAAATCTAAATTTTTGAATTCCTTAAATTGGCTAAAAGTTCTAAAGATTTCAAATGGTAGATATCAATCTCAATATTATTATCATTTAAGAGGTATTCAATAAAAAAATATGTCCAATTGAATGAAGAAAGTAAACATCTCACTCAATAAGGTTATTTAGATGATTATTTATAAAAATAACATACTAGAGGAAATTAGAAGAATTATGTTGAAAAAATTATTAGAATTATTGATATGCATGGATGCCATCCGTTTACACTAAAATATTATATTATTGAACGAACACTAAAAAAGTTAAACAACTCATCTCATTACATCTAATTTTGCAGGTGGCAGCTATATTTGTTTGCATTTTCTGTTATGCTACTGGAATAAATCAAATATTCGATATTGAAATCGACAAGGTATTTTCCACACGTGTTGTACATTATTATATGCCTATAAAAGAAGCTATTAATTAATTGTCCTTAAATGAAGGTTTTATTTATTATTGTTGGTAATTTATAATTCATTTTTATATGATTTATCATATTAAATTTTAAAGATTTTATTCTCTTTTTTCAGATAAACAAGCCACACCTTCCACTTGCTTCTGGGGTGATGGACATGACAAAAGCTGTTGCAGTTATTTTGGCTTATGCTATTATGGTATTTTATGCAATTTTATTGCTAACTAGTTTGTTAAATTACCTCTAAAAATATTTTGTTGAGAATTTCAAACAAAGGCACGTACGTAGTTAAAAAAAAAAAAAATCAATGTTTCTCACTTCAAATTCTCAAAGAAGTTGAGAACTACCATACAATGCATTTAGGTTTCGATTGAGACAACTTCTTCATCACTTTCTAAAGCAATTTTTAATACAAAAATTCTAAGTACAAATTTTTTTTTTTTCAAAAAAGTTTCTTTATAAAAAAGTTGTCTATATATATATATATATATGGAGGTCCCAAACTAAGCCTTAAGTCATTTTAAGATGCAAAATTTACGGAGGTCACCTTGGTCTTGAGTTTTAGTCTTGCAAATGTGATGTGTGTGTGTATGTCTATGTTAATTGGCCAAAATGAGCTACTTCTCTTTGGCCACACACACACACACAAAAAATGCTATATTTTTTTGGAAATATGAACAACCATATATTAATTATGTATTTATTTGTGTATTTAGGAGCGAAGTATGAAAGATGTGTAGATTGAATAAAAATATTGTGTGACAAGAGAATTGAATTTGGCACTATACATATGTTTGATATTTTCCCTTCTTGGATAGTATATTTAGAAATTAGAACTTTATTCTTCACCAATTGAGCATACGATATAGCTTAGACTGTCTTATTAGTAGAACTTTTGTGGATTTTTATTGGTGTTGAAGAATTTTTTGATAAATAAGGGTAGGAAGAGCTCTTATGGGTGGAGTGGATTTGGATCAAGGCAGTGATTTGGGCAAAGTCTAGCATCATGGTAGGAACAATGATCAAGAGAAGCTAGGACTAGCTAGGAGGAAAAAAAATCTAAGAAAATTTATAATTTATTTTGAGTGCTTTTAAAAATAAATCAAATTATTTCTAAAAATAAAATATAAAAGTAAATTTAATTTTTTTTTTAATTTCAATAATCAAACTATTAGCTAAAAAATAAAATGAAAAAGAAAAAATAACCATGTCACTAACATAGTGAAGTGTTTATTGATGATAGTTTTCTTCTTGAACAAGGAATAAAGTGACTCCCGACTTTGAGGTATAAGAAAAGAGGTTTATCTAATAAAGGACCACTAAGGATGAGTGATGATATGAGATATATGAACGAGTGACATAAATTTACTTTGCCCAAAATGCCTACCAACTCATTTCTAAATGTCCTTCATAAAGAATGCAACAGTGACATAAATTTTATTAGGATATTGAAATAGACATGGTCTAATATAATCATCACAATAAAAAATCCTTAGAGCAGACTCCAAATAAACACTTATTAGGGTTCACCTTCATGTTGCATCTTAATATGTGTAAATGGTTTTACCAAGTTCACCAAATGTTTGATTAGTGACTTATTTTTTACAAATAAGTTGTCAACATAGAAATTCATTTTCATCATTTTGAATTATAAAAATATGTTATTCATTAAGCACTAGTTGGTGGTACCAACATTCCTCAACCGGAACATAATTACTATCTAGTAGAATGTGCCCTCAATAGTACTAAAATTATTCTTCTTTTTTATCTTTATTGTATGTCTTCATATGTTAGTAATTAAAGAAAGTATGCATAAAGCTAAGATAAGTGTGAATGGACAACAAATGAATGTGTATTCAAAGTATGCATGAAGGCAAGAAAAGAGCTCCACTTTTTATGCTTGACCTACCTAATTATTGATCATATGTGATGTTGAAAGAAGTTGAACTAAAGATCAATACCTATGAGAAAATATTAAGATAAGCTCTAAGTAGATTTATTATATTGGTAAGATAAATACCTCCAATGTGGCATTAATGATAAAGGGGAGCTCAGGTACTTTTGTATAAGCGAGTACTTCAACGACTTGGCTACCAAATCATCAATACTTGTTGTTTTTTCCATGGGAAGGTGACTAGGAGTTCAGGGTGTATAGATTCTATGTAGATTATAACTTTAGGAGGTCACCAACTCCACCTAAATATAAGCCGAATTATTAATCTTAAGGAACATAAGGTAGAGGTGGTATGTTTATGTGGTCAATAAAAAAAATGTTGGGGTCATCTAAATATGATATTATCGATGGACAATACTTGGAGAACCATGAATTTTTCCTTCTGATTAATGGAGTATTTGTCATCCCTTGTGAGGGTAATCTCCTATAAAGTTCACCTTTCCATGATGAATCTAGCAAGATCACCATCATGCAACCCAGAGTTTTGGCATCCAAGCCAGTCTCATCCTGTTAGTAAGGTGTTGGAAAATTACACTCGTTGAGCTAAAAGCATCTACCGTAATACAAAGTACCTTGAAATTATTTCGAACCACTTGAATTGTTATGACATGGTTGTAATTTTCAAAGAGAAAGGCATAACTACATAAACTAAAGAACTAAAATAGAAGAAATATTAGCAATATTTACCTCATAGAATTTGTATCCTATAAACTTTGTCTATATGAAGCTCTAATGATAATATATTATGTAATGGGGTTTATTTGCTTTATTATTTGTACTTTACCCAATCTCCTCTACTTTAGTCTATAGGCTTGATATTAACCAGGAGACATAATTAAGTGGTTTGGTTTTAAAGATGTATGCCCATTATAATGAGTGAAAAATATCACTATGGAGAGAGAGAATATAACACAACAAGCTCTTATTCTTACTCTTTCTCTCTACGTAAAGTTTAGTACATCAATAAGTGTTTAAAAGCTTGTTAATCAAAAATCATTTTTATAAACAAGGGAAGGGATACAAATAGTTGCATTCATCAATTAAATAAACACTGAGATGGATGAGTTGATTGATGATTAAAAAGTCTAGCTTTTTAGTGATAAGATTGGTCTATGTGGAGAACTTGAGACCAATTGTGAGACCAATTGATAGTTCTTGATTGATGATGAGTAGCATGATCTATAGATGATGCAAAACCAAGTTATTATGATATATTTTGAGCTTTGGACATGACTATTGAGATTGTAATGAAGTTAGCTTACAACAAGAAAGGAAATTCTAATGAATTCATGATTAGAATGACTTGATGCTTCATGAAATCATATGGATATGATAGAATGATCAACTATTAGTTTTGAGTGGCATGAGCATTACATGAGGGATAAAGCTTCATTGAGGAAAATGGTATGATTTGGTAGAAGATCATAATTCACATGGTTTGTTTCTATCAAGCCGCTAGTCATCTCGTGAGTGGAATTAGAGAACCAGGATAACTCAATATGATTAAGCTTATAATGATTAAATTTGCATATCAATCGAGAATCTCTTCTAAGATTGACTATTGGCCATTTGTCACATGCATAACTTTGATATGGTTGTGCAAAAATTAGGTGTTACATTAACTAGTATTCTTATTTATATTCCTTATTAAACATAAAACTTTTTATTAAAACCATATCCCTAATGAGTTCCCTCACATTGACTCATTTCAAGGCTATGGAATCTTAATTTAAATCATTGACCTTTCCTTATCATAGGTGAAGGACCCTACGATTTCTTATATTATGATTGAAAGGATTTAAATTTAATATTTCTTAAAATTTGGGGTTATCTAGACTATATGCAAAAGGATATTCCCTTGATATAATTTTATGTTTTACATGTATTATAGATTGAGTGGTATATAATGTTTATAATTTAATTTCAAGTTTGTAGGCTAAATAGATTTTATTGATCTTTTAAAAAAAATGTTATTTATAATTTAGGTGGAAAGATATTCCATCTTTCATAAATTTTATTATTCTTGGAAGTTAAGATGAAAGTTATATAATTCTTGAGCCTTAATTTCCTAAATTATATGTTAAAAACATTTAATATTGAAATTTTGAGAAGTTTTTTATGTTTGGATCATACATGGAAAGAGAGTTCATTTGCTTAACCTCTTTATTTAGACAGAGAGACCTTTTTGGTACTTTCATCTTAGGGAATGTTTAACCTCTCTTATTTAGGTAGGCAAAATTTTTCGCCATCTCATTCTTATGCATAGAGACCCTTTTGACCATCTCTTGGTTTTGTAGGGATGCCCTTTGAACCTCTCTTACTTAGGCATCTAGGCTCTTTAATTCTCCCTTGCTCATTCATTTGACCTTTTTTTTACTTAGACAGATAGACCATTTGATCCTATTTTTCTTATGTAGAGAAACACATTGATCGTCTCTTCCACAAATGATTGGATTATTTAATCTCCCTTCTAATGAATGATAATCTTATAATCCTATTAATTATCTCATTTGTCATTGTATACATTTGAGGTTTTTATGGGTGGACCACAATTTGGTCAAATTGATCAATGCCAATATGTATGATATATTTTTATAAAATCCACCATGTGTTGTGTTTCTTCATATTTACACCTTTAAACGTAGGTTTGGTTTCACATACCTAAGATATACCTTATTTCCATCAGCCAATTTAATATATAATCTAATTTATCTTAATTAAGACTAATTTTGATTGTTTCACCCTATTAATTTGAGAGTTGATCGCTTTAGGCTTAGTATAACCTTAATAAGTTTTGATTTAGATAGACTTATAAAATTCTTACATCAATGAGTTTTGCATCATTTTACATCATAAAAATTAACGTTGAAATTAAAAAAAAAATGAATTTCTTTCTAATACCTTCCATTAAGTATGAAAAATTCATGATATTTAGAAAAAAAACATCTTAGAGACTTTTTTTATTATGAATATTTCTTCCTAAGGACTGTAATTATTCATTGTTTTGAATTTTAAAAATTATCTTTTAAGTAAGCCTATATTAACCTAAAGTTTTATGTTGATTATTAATTGATTATTTCAGGGTTTTGCCATCGTGAATAATGTTGGATCAAGGCCTTTACTTTGGGGTAGTTTTTTATTTTTTCTAATCTCCACTGCATATTCAGTGAATGTAAGTTCCCTTCACATTTTAATAATTAATTTTACAATTATGTTGTTTTATTTATCAAGTGACATCCATATTTTAAATAAGAATTGCTTTTAGCTTGCAGTGCTTTATAAAGTTGCTAATGTCATTAAGGCTTCATTTGGAACGACTTTATTTTTGCTTCTTAAAGCAACTTTCTAGTATAAAAATTTTAATTTTTGTACTAGAAATCTGCTTTATGAAGGAATAAGAAAACCGTCCCAAACGAAGCCTAAGTTTTGATGTAGTTGACATAAAAATTTTTCTTATTATACAACAATCTAATATTATGTATAAGAACAACATGTTGGCATAAGACCTAGCTAGTGATATATTTAGCAAAACTATGCATCAATAAATTCATTGTGCTTGACAACTTGAAATTTGAGGATCGCAAGTATATGACTCACTAAATAAAATATTCCATCAAACATGTTTTTTATGTTTGTAAACTAAATACACAAGTTAGTATTCGTGTGCAAGTATATTCATGAGAGTAGAAAGAGTTTATCATCTTATAAGTTGACATCAACAGATAAGAGATTTTTTTTTTTTTCTTCGAAAAGTTTTAAGAAGAACAAATTATAGAACCCAACCTTATTAAAACTGTTGTGTTATAGAAAATTCATGGATTTCTTTCTCAAAATCTCAAATTTACTTTAGGTGCTAGATTTGAGCTCATTTTCACTCAAGTCATATCACTTTTAAAGTATGTTTGAAGCTATTCCAACTTTTTATAAAATATTGTTATGAAGTTGTGTAGAAAGTAATTTATTTGGAAACTGTTGGACTTGGATTATATATTGTTTCTTGAAAAGGATGATAGAAAATTTTTTGCAATTCCAACACATTGATAGATATGGTTGTAAAAAGTAGCATTGTACCATAAAAATTTGTAGAAAGTAATTAAAAATTATCATAAAAGCATGCATGAACCAAATGAAAGTGTGGCTATGTTTTGAAAAGCGAAATGTTAGAAAGCAGCCCTAGTCAAGTCTTAAATTCATTGGGTTTGTCTTATTAAGAAGTTCAATTTGACTGTAAGTCTTCTAAAACTGGAGCTTAGATAATTCAATTTTTTTTCTAACAACATTCAATACAAATAGCGCATCAAAGTTCATGTTGATCAAGTAAAATTTTTTGAGGCATAACAAAAATATTTCAACTAATATTATTAGAGGGCTATAATGGTAGTTAGTCTACGTAATTAGAGAAGGTAATAGATATGAAAAACATAAGAATCTATGCTTAACATTTCAACCAAGTAAATATTGAACTTTATCTCAAGATTTAAAGCTCATATTGCTTCTGAATTGATAGACTAATATATATATATATATATATATTTATTCATATACTACGCTCACTACAAAATAAATTCAATAATTTTTAGATATATTCTCGTCATCAAATTTTCTTTCTGATGTTCATGTAAAAAATATTCATATATATATTTTAAAAATCATTATTTCTCAGTTTATTATATTTTTTTTAAATCTTATATTTTCATTCGTTTTTATTCTAGGGCCTCAATCCAAATTTCGAAGCATCTTGATGCTATTTCACAAATATTATTGAATTTAACAACTATAATTAAAAATTATTTAATTTTCTTTTATGAAACTTAAATAATAAAAAATGAATATTTTTAGAACTTATTTTAATAGTTTCAACATACTATTTTTATATAAACTATTTAATTAACGTTTAAGTCTTTATTGATCATGCAGACCTTTGTTCTTGGAAGGCAAATGAACTTTTCAAGGCCACTAATTTTGGGAACCATTGTCGTGAGCATATTCTGCATTGTGGTAGCATTATTCAAGGTACTTCTGCAAAGTAATACTGATATGATGCTTTAAAATCTAACCTTCAATATAAACTTATGATTTGTTTGGGACAACTTTCTTATTGTTTCTTAGAACGGTTTTTTAGTACAAAAATTTTCTCGAACACTCTTTCATAGGTAGCATAATATGTCATTTTACAAAAATTGTTATCATTACTATCTAAGGATGCAATAGATTATATTAATTTGTCCTCTTGGCCAAAAAGGAAAAGAATTCAAGCCTTTAAGATGACCAACTCTCTATTAATCAATAGAGACTTCCACAAAACTATACAAGAGAGACTACAAAAAGTCTTTAATGGTGTTGGTGGTTGAAAATTAGAGTTAGAAGTTAAACTTTTCACTATTAATCCATCCTTACTTGTAAAGTATCCAACAAAGATTAGCAACAAGAAGAGAGAGGGCAAAGAAAAAAGCTTTTAATGGATAGATAGATCGGCATTATAGGGTAGTCAAACATTTAAAATAAATGAGTAACACAATAATAAGACAAAGTTTAACTAGTATGCCATTAATGAACTATGATATTGCAAAACCATTGTTAATGTTTGCTACTAATAACATAGAAATGCCATATAGAAAAATATTCAAACATGATTAATTAGTAAACCAATAATTAAAAAATTCAGACTCTAAATGAGAGGTTGTTAAGTGTGAAGTCTAATTTCATTAATCATATTGGATACAATTTTCTCTTGATTTTTTCAAACTCAGTTACAGCCACAAAGTCCTTATTTGAGGCTATCACAAAGTTGTAAATGAATGCTACTACTAAGTCGTAAATGAAGACAACCATAAAGTCCTAAATGAAAGTTATCACAAAGTTATAAATGAAGGCTATCATGAAGTCCTAAATGAATGCTACCATAAAAGTTTATAGTTACAATGTTTCAATTAATATTGATCATTAATGTTAGAAGATTAACTCTTTATTATATAAAACCATATAATTCTTACATGTAGAGCAACTCATAATAAGAAGCAAAAAAAAAAAAAGATAGGAAAAGAGAGTAGAAGGTTGTCCTCTGATAAAGAAAAGTTTTTTTTTTCCTAAGTGCTTGCAAGGGGAGTTCTTCAACTTCCTCAAAATTGAAAAAGTGGTGCTATTTTTTATTTCTAGCAAGAGAAAAATCATTCATTATATCATACAGTAGTTCTCATTTCAACTCCTACAATAAAGGAGGTGATAGTAGCTGTAGTAACAACATAATTTCATTCTTGATATATAGCCTTCATATTCATGACAGATAACTACATTATCCTACAGTTAGGCAAAAGAGTATGTTTGAACATATTCCTAATTATATCATGTTAAGTATTTAATCATTTGTGCACTCTCTTTAAAGTTTAGTGGATTATTTGATATTTGTTTGGCCATAGATTTAAGCTTATTTAAGCCTCAAACAAGCAAATTTTGGAATGTTTTTTGTGTTGTTGATCTCTTTTTCAATTGTTTCATAGTACATTGTATAGTACATTGCAAATTCTATATTCTTAATTTCATTAAGAATAATGTAATTAATATTCATTAAAAAGCTTGCATGAACTTGGCACTTGCAAGAATTTTTTTGCATATTTGAGCTATAATTATGATTCATCAACAGGATGTACCAGATATTGAAGGAGATAAAAAATTTGGCATTCGTTCATTAGCTTCTAATCTAGGTCCAAAAAAGGTCAGCTACTTATTAGTCAAATCACATATGGCATATTTCATCAATAAGCACAGTTCTTAACTTCGATATATTATTGATTCCCTCATTTGGATTCTAACAGGTGTTTTGGATTTGTGTTTGTCTCTTAGAGATGGCTTATATTTTTACAATAGTGTTTGGAGCCACTTCTTCTCGCCCATGGAGCAAGCTCATAACTGTATGTTAAATTAATACACTAAGGGAAATTTAATATATGAAAATAAGTTTTCTAGCTTATAATTGTTATATTTAAGTACAATGAAAATCTTCTCGACTTTGTTGCAGATATTGAGCCATTCAGGTCTTGCTTTAATGCTTTGGAAGCAAAGTGAGTCTATTGATTTGAAGGACAAATTTTCTCTGCAATCCTTCTACATGCTTATTTGGAAGGTCATCATATTTTTTTTATAGAATAGATAATTGTTTTTTTTTTAGGTTTAACAAATTACAATTTTTATATAATTTTTTTATTTTTAATTTTGCAGTTGTTTTACGCTGAATTCATGCTTCTTCCACTTGTGAGATGAAACGAAGTTTGCTGACTACTTGGGACAAATTATGGTTTCATTTGGGACGGCTTTCTTATTGCTTTCTAAAGCAACTTTTTGGTATAAAAATATTTTGAACTAGAAGTTTTTGTTCTAAAAAGTTACTATAGAAAATAGTAAGAAAGCTGTCCCAAACGAAGCCTATATATATTCAAATTAGATATATATGCTTTCAAACAATTTTATTTTGTAGTGTAATAACCAAATTCAAAGAAGTGCTAATTTCTCTCTTACATGCATGCTCTCTCTCTCTCTTTAAATGACAATAAATCTAGAGAAATGAAACAACAATTTATATATGCTCTCTCCTTAATGTTATACTTAAATATGCCATAAAGAGGGGGGCGGTGAACATTTAGGCCAATCAAGACAAACTCAGATATACATCACATACGTAAGACTTGAACCAAAACCTCTTGATTAGAAGCCAAAGCTCTCAACCACTAGACCAAGATGAGAGCTGCGTTGTTTCCGTGTAATTAAGATCTTCACTTTGTTCCATGTATACTTTAATAAATCTTATCTATTAATAAATCTTATCTATTAGGATGACTTTTATAGCCCTAGAATATGCGTAAAAGTTAGTTCATTTTTTAATTTGGATATCATAAGCACGTAGCACAAATCTTTGTGTAAATCCAAGAACTATCAATCATTTATAGAAGCGGAGGTGGTGTTAATCACACATTTACTTTATATTTTTTTTCCCAGCTAGAACAATATATTTAGAAATAAGAACTTTATTCTTCTTCATTTAAGCAAATAATATAGCTTGGATTGGGTCTTATTAGTAGAACTTTAGTAGATGCATGTGGATCGGTGTTGAAGAAGCATGTATAAATAAGAGCAAGAATGGCTCGTAAGGTGAATTTGGAAGCATGTGAAGTAAGTTTGGATCAGGGAGGTGAATTGAGCTAGGTTCGGCATTGTGGCGAGTAGGGGTGTTAATTTCGGGTCACGTGTCAGGTTCGGGTCGAACCCGAAACTGATCCGGGTTCAATCGGGTCGACCCTAACCCGACCCGGGTAGGCAAACGGGTCGAAAACACGGACCCGGACCCGACTCGACACGGGATGCGAGCTCATGGTAGCGCTAAGGTGAGTCGCAACAGCGGGGCGCGACGCTGCCATGGGCGGGGACGCATAAGCGAAGCTGCGAGCAAACGTGGAGCAGCGTGCGTGGGCCGCGGGCAGCACGGGCATGGACTCGCGAGCGGGCAGCCGCGGGCAGGCGCGGGTAGCCGGGGCAGCCTCGGGCAGCTCATATTCTATAGCGTGGTATTTCGGGTTACACCGCCAAACAGTCAGGTCAACCTAAACCCGATCCAACGTTTTTGCAACCAGGTCGAGGATTCCAAGCTAGAGTAGTGACACCAGGTATTTTTCGGAAGCCGAAGGTTTTCGTGTCGTGTCTTAAATATGAACACCCTATGGCGAGAAACGATGGATCGTAGGGGGGGGGGCAGGCACTCCAACCGAAAAAACTCATTTTACTCCAATGCAGTAATTCTATTTCCAACCGAATTTCATTAATTCTTACATAAAAAGAATAATTCATAGTATACTTGCTTCCACTACTATCATTTTCTAATTTTTAAAAAAAAAATAGGCGGTGAAAACAGTGCGACAGTGTGCATCCTACAGATCAAATAGCGCAAAAATGTTCGCGTGGGCATCAAAGAAATGCCATTAGAGTTTGTAGATGATTTTCACTGCAATAAACTACATTAAAAGTTTCTATATTGCAGATCTTAGGTGGTGAAAATGTTCGAGTCAAATACTTATTTTTATATACTATTAAGTCATGTGCAATATTGTTTGAAAGGAAGGGCGGGTAGGATAGGAGCTACAGGTTTGTTAAATTTTTAAGCTATTTAAATTTTCAAAAACTACTTTCACATTTTTAATATTATAATAAGAATTCGTATTAAGTTTTAAATATTTTTTATGTTTGAAAATAAATTAAATTTATTTATGAATTTCTAAAATTAAAATTAATTTTTATATAAAATTTTT